CCCCACCCCGCCCCGCCCCGCCCCGCCAAACCGGGGTGCCCAAAGCGGGGTGCCCACTGAGGCCCCCACCCCACCCCCCACCCATCTTTCTCCGTAGCCTGCGTCCCTTTTTTCCCTTCCTGAACCTGCGTCGTTTTTTTCCCTACTAACTTCTAACTTCTAACCCATCTGTGTCCTTAACCTACGTCCCGTTTTTTCCCTACCTCCCTCCCCCACTCCACCCCACCCCAACCACACCCCCGCCCCAGCAAACAACCCCCTGCGCAACCTGCCCCCACAGCCCGAAAGCACCCCACCCCACCATCACACACAGACACACAGACACACACAGACACACACACACATACACGCTGCTTTTTCTGGGTATGTGGTAGTAGATGATGTCAGTATTATTAGATCACACACACACACACACGCAGAGTCACATATCATACAAGTGTGCAGCGAATGTGCGGCGAGTCACCATCGGGTAATCAGTCTATCATCTAATCTATCTTGGCCATTCTTTATCACCCTAATACGATCACAATACACGACTATATTATAATTTTAATTATATTTTATATATCATATGAATCATATTATATTATGAACTCATAATATCATATGGATACTGACATCAGTATCCATATGATATCATGATGACTATGATAACATTTAGCTTGGCACGGTGATCTCATGATGGTTCTCGCGACCTTCGCCTGTTCTCAAGCTGTGCGTGAACGTTAGCGTTTGGCAACTCTCCTTGAAGTCCGTTCGGCCTGCCATTTCAGGATGGCATCATTTAACGATGATGAGGCCATGTCTCCACCGCCAGTGCCCGTTGCGACCCGCAAACGCGAGGCACCTCCACAATCCTCGGCGTCGGTTGAGCGACCCAGCAAGGTGCCGTTTTGTGGTGATTGGGACCCACCGTGCTGCTCTACATGCGGGCAAACCGCAAGGCAGCCGGACCAATATCACCCAGACAGGAACGTCTTGTACTGGCCCAAGAAGGGGAAGAACCAGGCTGGGTCAGTTTGGTTCATAATAATGTACCGGGCATGAGCCATAGTCTCAGGCAGAATTACGTTACGGCAGTTGCTGTCGAGGTTCCTGGGTTAGTGCTTGTTCAAGTGTGTGCGGTGTGCGTGTGCAGGCGTGCGCGTGTGCGCG